AAACAGGTCAGCAGGTTCCTTTCCCACATCCCCCTCCTGACGTATGAAACACAGACTTTTCTGTATGGTACACATTATACACAGAAACAAGTGTGCATATCTCACAGGTTTTTGTGTTGGTTTTAATAGTTTAAGCTCACCTCATATCCTGGATGAGAGAGATTCTAAGAGGTGACATGGCTGGACTGGTATCAGACTTTCTCCTTTCTGAATCAAGGAGTATTCCTAGATTCAGAACAACAGAATTTCTTGTTAGCAGAAATCCATCTAAAGATTTTAAAATCAATATAAAAAAAACGTGAATTAACACCAACTTGCACTCTTGCATTACTGGCGACTCACTGCTTTCTGAAGATATTGTGGCATATTTCCACTTCAAATAACATGAAAATCTAATATGCTACACAGATGGTTATGCAGATCAGCACAAACTGAGCATTAACATGTTAATGAGCTTAGATTCAGCTGAAGTTGGTATGACATCAAATGGCTTAAGACATATACTAATCAAGTATTATTTTCTAAAGACTACCCTATTTTCTTTCTATGTAATAAAACCGACCAGCACTGTTGACACCAGAAAACAGTGTTCAACATGTTTTATTCAGTACACCACACATTCGTATGCTTAACTAATCTATCACTTTGCACACTCCTGTAACACCACTACTTTTTAAAATAGCACTTTTGGGGTTTTTTTTAAGCAATATTATTACTCTTATCCTTCAAATTCCACTCTAGAATCAAGTTGTATCTTAAAATACAGTCCCTCCCCTCAATCCCAAGTTAGAAAGTATAAAACTGATTGTAACTTCAATCTGATACACAAAAACACTATGGTCAAGTGACATTCAGGAAACCTTAATACTTTCCAAATTTTTGGTTTTGATTGCTTACAGGACCTTGTGCATGTTAGTAATGCTCAATTCTTTGCCTACAGCAACTTTAAAAAAAAAAAAAAAGGCACCCACCACCTCCCCCAAACCCCATTGTTCTCTCCAAAGTTATACCCTATACTCCCATCTGACACAAGTAGTGGTTAAAAATTACATTAACAACCTTAGAAACAGTGGATCTTATGTGCGATATTACTTTTACTGCAACACTTGATATAACAAAAATTAAAATATGTTTCTTCAGTGTTTTTTGTATTTGGGGTCGGGTTGTATTTTTTTGTTTTTAAATGTCTTTTTCTTTTAAACAATAAGCCTACTGTTCAGTTGTTTTTCGAGAGAGAAGGTAAAACTTCAGGATGTACAGCACAATTTTATATGCTTATACGTTTTCCACACACACACACCCCCCACAACATAATATGCTTTGCCAGTCATGCAGTGACTATGTGTCATATGGAGGACAGTATAGCAGAGCAATCCATTTTAAAGCCTACCTTTGAAGCATCAGGTATTTCTGGTACCTGACTACTGCAGTAGTCAGATACCAGACCCAAACAAGTGGGTTCAATCCAAAGAAGTTTATTTTTCACAAATATATTGAGACAATACACCAGGTCCATATTAATGTGAGGTCCATATTAATGGGTGAGGCCGCACCTCGAATACTGTGTTCAGTTTTGGGCCCCTCACTACAAGAAAGACATTGAGGTGCTGGAGTGTGTCCAGAGAAGGGCAACGAAGCTGGTGAAGGGTCTGGAGAACAAGACTTATGAGGAGCAGCTGAGGGAACTGGGGTTGTTTAGCCTGGAGAAGAGGAGGCTCAGGGGAGACCTCATTGCTCTCTACAACTACCTGAAAGGAGGCTGTAGCGAGGTGGGTGTTGGTCTCTTCTCCCAAGTAACTGGCGATAGGACGAGAGGAAATGGCCTCAAGTTGCACCAGGGGAGGTTCAGATTGGATGTGAGGAAAAATTTCTTTACTGAAAGAGTGGTTAAACATTGGAAGAGGCTGCCCAGGGAAGTGGTTGAGTCACCATCCCTGGAGGTATTTAAAAGACGTGTAGATGAGGTGCTTAGGGACATGGTTTAGTGGGCATGGTGGTGTTGGGTTGACAGTTGGACTCGATCATCTTAGAGGTCTTAATTTCATCTTAATGATTCTATGATTCTAATTCTGTAGCAGATAGAATACTTGACTCGGTTACATTGAGTGAAGGATATTTTCAAGGAAACGATCTCTGCATGGTGCAAATCTGCAGCAGCTCTTACTCATAGCTTTTATCATCATCTTCCAGCAGAAGCTAATCTTACCTGAGGTACTGAAGCTGCCTGATGTAGTTTTTCTCTGTCTGTTTTCTAGGTAGTGTAACAGATGGGACCACAAAGCAGATTTTCCCTAAATTAAAAAAAAAAAAAAATTAGTTAAAGAAATCACTCTCAGCTGAATAAAAAGAAAGCTTAAATCATCATTGAAAGTATCAGCCATAACAAAAACTTGCTTTAAGTATGCTTCTCCCTATAAAGTCATTGGTAAAAACCAAAAAGGAGACACAAGTTGGAGGTGCTCGGGAACTGTAAAGAGGTTGAGAAAGAAAAGGAAGAGTCAAAATACTGGGATCTAATGATTCTGGTAACAGGAAAAAGTCAATTGAACTTCATTTCTCATAGTTCATTAACATGACAAGAAAACATTTAAAGGCTTGTAAAACACTATTTGTGAGTAGAGTTCTAAGTCTGAGGCCGTAACCTGTACTATGTGTCTTTTCCTCCCTGCCTCTCCAGCAGTGAAATGACAAGAGATACAGAGCCAGCCTGAGTAAACCATCTTCCACCTAGACCAAGTCTTGTTCCCTTCAGCGTAATTCAGGGATATAGGTGCATGCTGTCAATTTTCAGAACCTCAAAAGACCCCTCCTCAATTTCATCAAGCAAAGGACTTGGATAATCACAAACACACTAAGAAAAGACAACCCAAAACACAAGCAGGACAATGAAAGCTTATCAGCAAGAATACTCCAGCTCTACACATTATAAAACCAATTTAGAAGTTAAAATTTGGGATGTAGTATTTAGGCCAAGATAAATCCGTCAAATTATGTTAAAAGGTGCACCTTGCTCATTACGCGTTGCTTTCTTAAACCTCTGGTGGCTTAAAGCAGAGTGTGAGGAAATCTTTCGCCGGCAAACTAAAAAGATTCTTGAGTTCATCCTAAAATATTCTGCATGGTAAATCAAAAGCTTGCAAAGCCACAGAAAGGCAGTAGTAATTGAACAGGGGCTCTCCAGCACATTAACTGGAATTACTTACAGAGGAAATTAATTAGTATTACTTATCATCTTCCCAAATTATTATATTAACTTGAAATCCCAGTAAAGATTTAGCAATTCTGCATTTCAGAAAAGCAGTCATATTATAAAGCCATATTTTTATTTACAACTTTGTGCAGAAAGAAACCATGACTGTAAAGCAACAGTTGTCAATTCAGCACTATCAATGTAATCTAAAATCATGTAAGTGCCTTCCTGGAGGTACAGTAATTATGGTTCAACTCTGAATTTTTTTTTTTTTAAAACTATCTTTAAAAATCTCTAAACACTTCAATCCTATAGCTCACTACAACTAACAAAAATAACTAACAACCATGAGGGATTATTCCAGAAGTGGCATGCCTCCAGAAGATAAAGCCTAGAGTGTCTGTAACATCTGTGTTGAGAGAAGTCTATTAAAAATACGCATTCAGTGGTGAAGTTATTAAAAAAAAAAAATCCGGAGAAGCTCAATGCCTCATTGTGTACCTGACAGATCCAACATGGAAAGCCAAAACTGCCAGTCTTATAAAAACATAAAAAGAGAGCATGAAAAATATCAACCAGGGAACAGTTACATCCAAAATGGCATTTCTCTCAATAAACACACACATGCACACACAGTCTAGTGTTCAGCAACTAGCTGCCATGGCAAGAGAACTGCAACATATCACATAAAGCAGCAAACAAAGGAACCTGCAGCAAATAGATGTCAACAATCATGATGAATGTAAGAACTCATGCAGTATGTATCTGCCCACTTCCTTTACCATCATGTTACTCTCCTTTAACTTCACCAAATAGCAATGATGATGCAAGCTGTATCTATAAGGAAAAGGAAGACAGCCTAAGGAAAGCAGTGGGACAGAGAACAGGCAAGGGAATAACCAAGGCCTTCTGAAAGTTCAGACTACTGCAGTCATTAGACCCTACATCCAACAACTCTCCCCCATTGCTCTGGGCAAAGGAAGGTGTAGATTCACTCACTTTGCAGAGGAAGAATCAGTAGGTAGCTAATGTAGGACTATCAAGGTTCATCAGCAGGGAAGACGTAAAAGCAGGGATTGGTGGAAGGAAAGCCACCCTCATTACTATGGTCAATTGAGAAAGAAGAGTCTTCCTTGGCTCATCATTGAAAAATAAAATAAAATCGATGTGTAAAACAGCAGGCTTTTGCATATTTAATAAAGGCCAGAGCACACAGAGAATTGGTGGTGCCTTTTTTTTCTTTTTTTAAACTGTGGATCATAATATGAGATGCACTGCACTTCCTCCATCAGGCCTCTATTATATTCCACCACTCTATTTATTCCACCATTCAGCACTGTTTGCCAACATCTGCAATCAATCCAAAGCATTAACCTTATGTAGGGTTGGCCGTCTGGTGGTCTGAAAGGCCCAAATCTGAGTTGAAGCAGAGTATACTGATGCTCTGTCTTCTAAGACGAAAGCAGTACAGCTTCTATCCTAAGTGGTATACAAGAGGGAAGGGAGAGAATCACATGATAAATCTTCACATAGAGAACTGCTATATAGTTTGAAGGAGAGCAGATTTAAACACTGGCGCTTGGGTGCTGGGAACAGAGATACTGAATTACAGTTGTCTGGATTATGTACATTTATTCTGCACATCATTCTAAAAAAAAAAGTTATAATCCTCAGTCCTTGCTATTCCTTTGTACAAAGGAGGAGGAAAGGATGAAGGCCTTCCAAACTCCATCTAGTCCCACAAGCGACTCCAAACAGAAGAGCACGACAAACAATTATTAATTTCATATGAAAAACACCACCTCTAACTAGTGATCTTGTAAACGTCACTTAACTATCCCTATATCACTCGGGAAGAACCAAAATAGCAAGGGTTTTACTCTTAAAAACTAAGTTTTCCTTCATGAAAACAAATTCCCCATACCATATCCCATTGACAGCACCTTTGGCATACGCTGCCTTATAGCCTAATGCAACTTCAATAATGAAAGTATAAGAACACAGAAATACTTTTATTTACCATCCTATTAAAAAAATCACAAAACCCCACAAACCAAACCAAAAACCCCCGGTTAAACAGAAAGAAAGTCTTCCAAGAAGTCATCTGTGGAACACATCTACCTGTGCACTTGTACATACCCCAGAGCAAAAAGTGGAGACAGACAAGGGGGCAGTAACTGACATTAGAAAGGCTGGGGGAGGACACAAGTATTTTAACATGTCTATATACACGCAAAAAGTATCCTCTGAAAGCGGAGAGAGGAAGAGCATAACTCTTGTGATTCATAAGTGCATAACTCAAGCACTTCCCATGACTTTAGGAAAGTGAGTTCTGCAACATACAGGAATATTTGTTCCTCACCTGTTTGACTTGCAGACCGTGGCTCCATATCCTTTCTAAGAGGTCACACAGACTGGCTATCAGGGTATTCTCTTCTACACCTGTGATATTCACTTCACCATGACCTAGCTCCACAGCTTCTCGACCCATTTTTTCAACCAACATCCTCTTGGTCTCAAAAAGGACAAGGCAAAAGAGAGTTAATTCTTTCTGCGGGAACTTCCAAGATCAGTTACACTTTTTAAATAACCAACAAGGAAGCACATGATAGCAAAGATGCGGCAGAATAACTGGGTGAATGCAGTATTTCTGAAGCTAGTGCAAGACTGCATTTTTTTATCCCTGTTTTTCAAGCCAGGGCAGCACCAGTGTTGATCACTTTACAGCCTCTTCCATCCTTCTAACAAGGGGCTTGCAAACAGGCACATAAGCCTCCACAGAGTAACCCCAACAAAGGGAACAGCAGGCCACACATTGACAAGCTAGAGGCCCAACAGCAAGGCAGGCTCGGGTGTTTCTGCAGCCTGGTGAGTGCTCGACTGAGATCAGTATGCTATGTCCACCTCCTCCCAGGGGAGGTTAACGTGCACAAGTGCTTCCAAGTAGCAGGGGGATACGTCATTCCTGTGAGACCCTGTTCTGTCAAAAGGGTATTTGCATTTAAACTAAACGCATTCTGGAGTGCATCTCTTGAGTTTCCCCGATGAGCCGCATTCTCCTAAAATGTGCACAATTCCATACTGGTCAACAAAGCCCTCACCAACTCTTAGTTTCCCAGTCACAATATATTCATCATATATCTACCTGGAGGGAAAAATGACTGGGGAATCACTTCTGCTCATCTCTTACACATTTTTTCATCTTTGTTGCTATTCTAGACTAGCTCTCAAATGAGTAATACCCCCTTAGGCACCTATGCACAGTCTTAGTTGAGACAAAGAACTCTAACTTAGTCTCTAGCTTCTTCTCCTCACCTCCCCTGGCAATTTCCCTCTCTGCTAACAGCAGGCTCACTACATTCCCTAGAGTTGCGTTCCCACAGTGAAAGAATCAAGTCTATCTTCAAGGATTTTCACTGTCATATGCCTCCATTAAGTGAAGGGGATTATTTGGATGTTTCATACATACAGAAAACTAAAGTGAAATCAGAAGTAGATGCATGTATTAAACATGGTTTTACAAAAAGTTGTATATAATTGCTGTATTACCTCCACTGACTTAAGGCAAGAATGTGTCTATTTAATAATTATTCTCTTTACTGTGTTAGTATAAACATTAACATTTAGTTCAGATGAATATATTGTCAAATATATACTGGTGAAGCATGTCTACAAACCAATGCCAAATTTCTTCGTTAAGTGCTTAAAAACTTACGTTTCAGAAGTTTGTTAACCCACTTGCTTTAGTTATGAGAAAAGTTCCTGCATTTTCACCACAACCTCCTCTTTTGGAATATTCACTCTTGTTGAAATAGTATAGTCTCATCAGTGATAACTGAAAGTAGCTATAATAGACATGGGCAGCGGGATGATAAAGACCCATCAGAATATTCAATCTCTTTCTATCATTTTACATTTGCTATCATAAATCTGCTTGATAAAGTTTCCACTCCTTGCAGAATTTCTAAATACATTATCTCTTCATGAATTCCTCACTACCATGCAAAAATCTTTATACGTATAAAGCAGAAACAGATGGCAGAAGAAGGGGGTTCAAACATATTGGTCAAGAAATGGTCCATAAAGGATGGATATGAGGTGCAAGAGAGCAGAAACATTCTCTGTATTACCTTATTTC